TATATATATATTGTCAACAACCTGTAATATTTTAGTTACCTACATCTTTTTTATGAGTTGTATCTGAACATAATTTAAGGCCGCTGTTAGCGTCGGATTGGTTACAATGACTACTGTCTTCGGTTTGTGTCGTGTCATTTGTCGGTTGCCCCTCTGCTACTACCTTACCCATTTGCTCTTCAATTTGTATCGAGCCTGTTGACTGATGCTTGCCTGGTCCTGGAAATTGACTTGGTATATTGATTTGTGTCAGGTCAATTGGCTGATGGTCGTCTTTTTTTTCTGCATGTCTACTTTGTATATTATTATTTTGTATCGGGCCCACTGCATGATCTTTGTCTGTTCCTTGCTGCCCACTTGGTGTATGGGGTTGCGCCAGGTTCATTGACTGATGCTTATCAGTTTCTTTCTGATTACTTGACATTCTGTTTTGTGTCGACCCCGTTGAATGATGTTCGTCTTTTCCTAACTGAGCACTTGGTATGTTGGTTTGTGTCGGCACCGTTGACTGATGTTCGTCTTTTTCTGCCTGACCACTTGGTATGTCGGTTTGTGTCGGGCCCACTGAATAAGCTTTGTCTGTTCCTGTCCGACCAGTTTGTATTTTGGTTTGTGTCGGGTCCACTGAATGAGTTTCATTTGTTCCTGGCTGTCCACTTCGTACAATTGTTTGTGACGGGTTTATTGAATGATATTTGTCAGCTCCTGGTTGGTTACTCGATAGGGTTTCACCCCTATATTCCCTTATTTTTTTATCAAGAGCAATAACCTAATAACAAAATATCAACATTTTAAATTTCACTGTATTACCGAGCATTAAAACAAATGATTAAACTTACTTACTTAGTATTGCTTAAAGGTTTGCATGGCGAAGAAATACTATATATGTGGAAGCTTGCGGTACACCACGTAAGTATTTCTGAAAAGAACTGTTGTAGTTGAGAAAGTCTTGAGGTTTCGATTGAGATGCTTCAATCGTATTCTTACTTACTTACTGACTAATTAAATTTTTCACTTTAGATACTTACCTAGCCGGCACTGAATTCAGTTAGTCTTATATAAGAACTAGATGGTTCTTGTGGATATATGCAAAAGTGATTTTTAGTTATTCTCCAATTGTAAGTAAAAAAGACGACTGACAAAACTCACAAACATAGTATCAGTAATAATTGTTGTATAATTGAACTCCTCCAGGGAATAGAATTTGTTATAAACACTAGAGCATACCTTTTGCTTAAGATGTCGATAGTACCCATCGGCAATGTTTTGCATCAGTGCTAATGCTCCACGTTCGATAAGAATATCTGCAAATTCAACATCAGCGTTGCTGTAATTAACCATGGTATCGATTGTGTCTGTAAGGATCGACCACAATAACTCATTGGTGTATATCTCCTTTTTTGGTTTCCAAACATTAGCAATAGTACGGACAAGTAAATCTGTAAATTACATACAACAATAAATGAGTAGGTTTGATAGACCTACTCACGCATTTAATTTGAGGCCTACTAACCTAGGCATATGTAATTATTAAATTATTTGAACGCAAACATCTTGAAATATACTTTCTCAGCATTTTTCCGCCATTCGACAATGCGCATTCCACTATTTGTTTCCATTAGATCTACTTTTCTTCTGTTTAGGACTGGATGGTTTGTTAAAGCTCTGTCGGTGTGTGTGTGTGTCTGTCTGTTTGCCTGAGTGTCAGAGGTGTGTTTGTCGTTCTGGGAGCATAACTCAAATGCTTACTGGGTCGATTAATCTCAAACATTGACAATATTACATGTATTTCGATCCTCTTCGAATTTGGTGCTCATCAGAAGTAAGATGTAGATTTTAGGCCTATACAAAGGTAGCACCACAGGGCGAGGGTTTGTAATCCCAGATTATCTTGTCACTTTTGCAATCCATTAGTTTCTGGGGGTGTTTCTAATCAAATAATTTACTTTATTATTTATTGACGTCACACCCAACTCTGGCCGGCCATATCTGGCTGTATGGGTACAATTTTACAATTTTTTTTCATCAAATAACATTTTCACCTTATCACCGATTTTTTTACTATTTAAATAAAGTTTAGTCCATCAACAATCATTATAAGGTAATCTGTCGTCTTTCAATTATTGATTACTCCATAATCTGGCCACATGCTTTGCTTGTCAAAAGGGTATCCCAGGCTAAATCGCCAAAACGTTTCTGATGCGAACTTTCCAATAGAAAGGAAAAAACGACCAGCCCTACAAAATACCGAATTTAACGAAGAATATTCTACTACACCCCAAACTGCACATCCATATTCAAGGATAGGTGCCACCTTGGCATCATATAACTTTGAAAACGTTTGAAAATTAAGTATCTAACTATCTTAGATTTACTTATTATTACCCCTTCCTAATGCTCGAGTAGCTGAAGCAGCCAAATTATGTGCAGTTACATTAAAGTCAAGAAATTTATTCAACTACAACCCTAAGTATTTATAACTCTCTACAGTGACAATGTTTACACCTCCGCATGAGAATTTACACTCACTCTTGTTTTGCGATTTAGTGCGAAAATGTGTACAACTTGCATTTTACTTTCATTAATAGATATGCGCCAATTTTTAGCCCACTTAGAGATACAATTTAATTTGATTTGAAGTGAAGTTTTAAACGCCGTCAGAATTGCAATATCATCTGCATATAAAAGCATATCAAGCTTTGAATCATTAATGTTAAAACCAAGATCTAATGACTTTAACAGCATCGACAATATCATTAATATGAATATTGAACAGAAGAAGACAGTAAGCACCCCTGTTTTATACCATTATTTATTGAAAACCAATTTGTAAAGTGTCCATTTATACTTACTGCCTCTTTAACCTCATTATAAATTCTTTTAATTGCTTCATACATGTGATCATGAATAACCAATAACCTCAACTTGTATCAAAGGCAATCTCTGTCAATTCGATCAAATGCTTTGTGCGCATTTATAAAGCACACGCAAGTTATATATTATATATATATAAGAATAAGACTTCCACCGTTAGTGAACATTTCAACTTTCCCGACCACAATATTAATAACATGAAATTTATCATCATAGGCCATGGATATAAATCCATCAAAGATAGTAAATGTCATGAGATTCGTTGGGTTTTAAAACTTAACACTTATACACAGGGTCTAAACAAAAACCTTGGTATTTTAAGCGGCTATACATTTATCAACAAATTAATAATTAATAATTATCTGGCGGCCGCCACTTAATTATCTGGCGGCCGCCAGTTAACTGATTTGAATTTTTTATTCACTGTTGACACTAACAGGCTTCCCTAAAGAGATAATCAAATCCTAATTATTATGTTAAAGAGACCGCATTCTTTGTATTGACTTGACCACCTATCGTGCCGATCGTTTTGTTTATCAGTTGTTTATCATTAGATTTCTATTTGATCATAGACTTGAACTAATGAATTGTTCAATCCGGTTTTTAATTCAGTAGGCATTACACTGAAGAAGAGAGCAGGCGCTCCCGAAATATTCGTTATTTAATAAATTTTTATATATCCTGGAAAAACGTCAACCGCCTATGTTATTATTGCTTTTCTCCACCATTCTAATATATGTTCATCAGGATATACGTGCACCC